TTCCTAGCTGCTCTCCTCTACATTAATAAAATAACTTAAATTATTAATTGAAATAAATTTTTAACATCATTAAAAATTGTTAGTCGATTTGATAATTTATTAATAAAATTCGTTATTTATGAGGAAATTAAAAATTTTAAGGAGCGAGATGTAATTTTTAAAATTACAAGAGATAAATCATATTTTAAGCAAACCTAATAGTGTAGCAATTATCCTATTATTCAAAAATTTCATGTTAAAAGTTTGTCCAATTAATAATAAGAGACTGAATGAATAAATGACACTTATAATGAGATAATGAATAAACTATAATATTTTTTGTTGATAATGACAGAAGTATTTTTTCTTTTAATTTTATTAAATAAAAAATTCTGATAATAAAGTATTTGTAATTTTTAGAATCACAAGAAACAATTTATATCTACCTACTATTTACATTAATTTTGATCATTTTAATCTTATTAAAATAGAGATTAGTCTAATTATGTACCCAAAAAAAATATGAAGCTAACTGTATTTATTTACCCTTATTATTAATTAGGGTAAATTACAAATACATCTTGAAGTTTGCTTAAAGTGTGCATTGTCCTTTGTGGTGTGAAAACTTGTAAATATCACCTTCTCAAAAAAAATTATTTAACAGAAGTAATTTAAAAATGAAATTCTTAACTGCTCTCCTCTACATTAATAAAATAACTTAAATTATTAATTGAAATAAATTTTTAACATCATTAAAAATTGTTAGTCGATTTGATAATTTATTAATAAAATTCGTTATTTATGAGGAAATTAAAAATTTTAAGAAGCGAGATGTAATTTTTAAAATTACAAGAGATAAATCATATTTTAAGCAAACCTAATAGTGTAGCAATTATCCTATTATTCAAAAATTTCATGTTAAAAGTTTGTCCAATTAACAATAAGAGACTGAATGAATAAATGACACTTATAATGAGATAATGAATAAACTATAATATTTTCTGTTGATAATGACAGAAGTACCCTAATAATTAATACGATAATGAGAGATGTATTCACAGCTAAGGTCGTGTAAAATATCGTTCAATCCGCTAAAATCACATCGATCTGTATTAATTCGTACCACTCTATCCACTAACAACGATTTCAACTTTAAAATTTATAATTCGTCTTCGAAATTGTTTCGCTCTGCTATAGTTAACACATATATTTTTTAATTTATAATAAAATATTAAAGTAAAAATGAGTGAGAGAGATTTAAGATATAAAATTTATTATAAATTAGTAATATATATATATAATGTTATGTAAAATTAGTTTGTGTTATATATATAAATACTATGTAAATTAATATCATATATTATACAAAGACTTGATAATTGATTAAAATATTTTTTAATTTATCAATCAACTCAAAATTATTTAAATCACAATTTAGTAATCCGCTATTTAATTACTAATTTTAATTTCAAATCGTCCAAACTGCAACCCCGACACTTTAACTCACAATCACGAGGAGAAAACCATGACAACCACGAGGCTCATGCCTTGTGACTGAATAGATTTATTGGTTTATATATATAAATTGGGTTGGTAGGTAGGAGTAAAGTCCCAAAAAAAAGCCCTTACAAAAATGTGTTTTCTCTTGGAAAAAACCCCGACACTTTAACTCACAACCACGAGAAGAAAACCATGACAACCACGAGGCTCATGCCTTGTGACTGAATAGATTTATTGGTTTATTGGGGGTATGTAGGAGTAAAGTCCACCACACCACCACACACACACACACAAACACACCCCCCAAACGAGGCTCATGCCATAATTATACTAACTTTCATTTTGGTAATGTTAAATGAACTGAAATTAATGCAAAGTGTGAAAATATAAAGATAAATAATGTAAAATATATATTTTCATGTAAAAAATACGTAAAATATATCCCCCCAACGAGGCTCATGCCATAATTATACTAACTTTCATTTTGGTAATGTTAAATGAATTGAAATTAATGCAAAGTGTGAAAATATAAAGATAAATAACGTAAAATATATATTTTCATGTAAAAAATACGTAAAATATATATTTTGTGTAAAAAAGTGACAGCATCATTTTTTTATTATCTATATAGTTAACAAATTATTTTAAAGTGTTATATGAATTAAAATCTTAAATGAGCTCAATATAATTATATCAAAATTACGAAAATTACTATATTTTATTTGAAATATGGAGAAATGTCAATATAATTTTCTTCATTTTCAACGGAAAAATTGCAGATCAAAGAGCTACAAATAATTGCAAAAACATGGGAATATGATGCAAATACACATAACGTGATACCTAAAATAAATAAATAAATAAAATTGCTAAAACATGGGAATATGATTATTTATTTATTTATTGGATAAGTTGGTGTGGCACTTCAATTTTATTGTTATAAGTTTCTTTCTGAATAGAACTGATTACTGACATTTATCTTTCAATAAATAATATAGAATAATATTTCAAAACGAATCAATCCTTTATGGGGTTTGATTTTGAAATGCGTTAAAAGTAGAGTATAGTATTCCACTGCTCTAACGTGGACATATTGGCAGCCATTGGCTCCGGCTCTTGGCCACGTGGCGTCCACGAGGTACAAAAGAATTACAAAAAGAAAAATGCTTGGGAGCACTAATTAGTGCTCCCACTAATTAGGTGGCAGTGGGTCCCGTCATTAATGATGTGATGTTTTGGTCTTGGAGTTGTGTTTTTTTTTTTTTTTTTTTACTTTTTTAATGCATTAGTGCTATTAGTGGTGATGTTTTTAGTGGGATGAATCATTGTTGTTACAAAAATGTCACTTTAAAAATTTTATGGATAAGTTATAAGAAGTTGTTTGGAATGTCTTAAATAAGTGTATTTTTTAGTTTTTGGATTAAAAAGTTGAAAAAAAAATGATTGTTTGAGATAATTTTTTGACTTTTTATAAACAAATATGTATTAAAAAAATTATATAATTTAATGTATTGGAGAAAGGAGAGAAGAATAGACTGTATGGTGGCAAAGTAGTGGGCAGAGGGTCTGAATAAGATATGCTTGCTTCCTTTTTGGGTATTGAATTGGACAGTGATGTTTGGCCCGTGGAGGCCCACCACGGGTCTTGTTTTGGTAATCGGAACCATTCAATGTATAGAACTCGTCGAGTATTATATATTTGTAAAAAGGTACGTTGATCGGATATCGATAGCTATCTGATCGGATTAGTTTTTTGTCAACCGTTAACTATAACACCATCCATTTTTTTTATACAAACCCGATTTGGTCATGTAATTATCGATATCCAATCAACGCAATTTTTTACAAGCATCTAGTACTCAACAAGTTTTACATATTAAACGGTTCAGATTATTAAAATGAAATTCGTGATGAGCCCCCACAGGCCGAACAGCATCGTCTTTAAGCTTGCCTCCACCTGTGTAGTTTGTTCTTACCAAAGCCAGGTAAGGCAACTCACGTCAGAGTGAGTTGTACATATTTTTGTATAAAAATAATTTTTATTTTGGTAAATAATGATAATTTTTTAACATTTTTAGTAATTATTTGACTTTTTATCTTTTTTAAAAATACCAAACCAAGCCGAAGTATATGTCAAAAAAATTGTGTAAGCAATACTTACTTTTTAATTAGTATAGAATAATAAAGCCTACTATTTTGCATGAGATAATTATTTTTTAAATATACAAGATCCACCTTTTTGACTCAATGATATTTTGCCAATGTTTGGGAAGTTGGGTTTGAGAAATTTTTTTTTTTTGGTTAAAATAGTCATAAAAAATAAAATAGGTTTTTTAGCTTAATAAGACAAAACATCACATTCAACCCATAATCATTATATTCTTTTTCTCACAAAAAAGTCAAAAAAAAATCAAAAAAGCTAAAAACTCTTTCCAAATTAAGTTTTTTAGACCCAGACTAAAATAATCAAAAAATTCAAAAAATCAAAAATCAACTCACTTCCCAAACGAAGCCTTTGTATATTGTTTAGACACTAAGCCTTGTTTGGTTTGTTTTTGAAAAGTAAATTTTGGAAAAAAAATTCTAAAATTTTATTTGGTTTAGGCTCCATTTGGGAAGAGAGGTTTGGAGCTTTTTTTGCTAAAATATTCACGAAAAACAAAATAGGCTTTTTAGCCCAATAAGACAAAACATCACATTCAACCCGTAATCATTACATTCCTTCTCTCACAAAAAAACCAAAAAAAGCCAAAAGCCCTTCCCAAACCAAACTTTTTAGCCCCAGGTTAAAATAGCCAAAAAAATCAAAAAATCGACCCACTTCCCAAACGAAGCCTTAGTGATTTTGAAAAAAAAAAAATTCAAAATCACTTTCTATCACCTATATATCAATCAATCACTTAATCTCTCATCTCTTCTTCTCAATCACTTTTTCTCTCAAACACATCTACTCAACTACAAAAAAAATATCAAATTATTCCAAACTCTCATACTCCAAAACTATTTCCAAAACATATAACCAAACAAACTAAAAAAGTTGGAGCAATTCTGAGTCATTAAGGCATTGTTTGGCAATAGGTCGGTTTAGCCAAAAAGTCAAAAAGTTATTAGAAAAAGCCAAAAAGTTAACAACTCATACCAAAAAATCAAAAATTCTCTTTTCTCTCTGTTTTTTGCTCATCTTTTAGTAAAAAGTCAAAAAGTCATCCCAAATATACTAGTTTTTTTAACTCATATTTTAACCAAATAATTAAAAAATTACTAAATTAGTTTATTTCCAAACGAGGCCTAATAATGAAAGCTGTGCAGAAAACTATATGAAATTATTACTGAAACTAGAGTCCCACCTGTCCTCAATCTTGGGCCTGACATTAACTTTTCTTTTTTCTTTTTGGAACCCAATCACTTTTTCTAATTGTTACTGAAATTTGCATAAGGGGAAATTACAACCAACCAACCTTGGAATAGTCACAACACAAAGTCTTGTTGCAAATTAACAAAAACCAGACCTAGCTGTGAAGATGGAAGTTAAACTCATTTCCAAAGAAATTATTAAACCGTCTTCATCAACACCTCCTCACCTACAAACCTTGAGACTCTGTGTCCTAGACCAAAATGGTGGCCTAGCTCATGTGCCAATCATCTTATACTATCCCAAGAGGGATGCAAATTTCAACATCAATGAGAAACTGATTAATCAACTCAAAGACTCGCTCTCGGAAACACTGACTCTCTTCTACCCTCTTGCCGGAAGAGTCAAAGACGACGGCCTCTCCATCGACTGCAACGATGAGGGCATCTTGTTCTCAACGACCCGTGTCAACTGTGACATGGCCGAGCTGCTTACTGCACAACCACCCGATCTTCTTTCTTTACAGCGACTTCTTCCTTATTATGTTTTCGTTGATCCACGCGATAAGGTAGCTCAAGTTGCTAGTCAACTCAACATATTTGCTTGTGGTGGGTTTGTGATCTCAGGACTCTTTATGCACAAGATCATAGATGGAGCAACCTTGGGTACCTTCCTTAAATGTTGGGCATCCAATTCCATTGCAAGATCAGGAATATCAAGAAGCAGCCATAGTCTTACACCAACAACATCAGCATCCTCATCGACAGTAGCAACATCAGAAGCAATATTAATGTACCCAGGGGCCTCAATCTTCTCTTCGAAACAACCTTTGCCTGATAGTCTCTCAACTTTTTTCTGAAAGGATGTTGCTTAGGGAGGGAAAGGGTATCATGCAGAGATTTGTGTTCGACTCTGAGGCTATATCCACTCTCAAAGCTAAAGCGACTAGTGGAAGGGTGCCTAACCCAACTCGTGTCGAAGTAACATCAGCCTTCATTTGGAAACATGCTATGGCTGCATCAAGAGTGGTTTGGGGTATGCAACAACCTTCCATATTGAATCAACAAATGGACTTGAAGCGACGAATATTGGTAACGTCGTCATCAAAATATTCTGTTGGGAATCTTTTGTGGAAAGTAGTTGCACATTGTGATGCAGTCGCTGAAGATGAAGAGATCATGTCATTGAATGGCTTGGTGGGCTTACTGAGAGATGCAATAGAGAAAACAAGAGATAATATTCTGCCAAAGCTACAGCGAGGAGATGAGGGGGGTGATGAAATATTAAGTAATTTTGTTCAGGAATTAAGAGAAGTATGTGAGAGTAAAAAAAATCTAAACCCATACATGTTTAGCAGTTGGTGCAAATTGGGTTTCAATGAAGTTGATTTTGGGTGGGGAAATCCCACGTGGATTAGTTCTGTTGGGGCTAGAGTCGATTCCATCCATAAGAATAATATTTGTTTGATTGAAGTTGGATTGGATGATAAAATTGAAGCTTGGTTGATCTTGGATGAGCGTGAAATGGCGGTCCTTGAACGTGATCAGGAGTTCCTTCAATTTGCTTCCATGAACCCACCTATAATTCTATCCTAGCCAGCTTGGTCGTAGTTACTTATGTCACTAGTCTGCTTGTTGCAGACATAGTTGGAGCATCTTGTGAAAGGGCTTATGCTTGGTTAGCCCTCTGTTTTGGTCTGTTGTTGCTGTGTTTTGTAATCTTTCTTTTGAATCCAAAAAAAAGAAAAAAATAAAATGTAGTTACTTATGTCATGCCTATTTTACTATGTTTTTTTTTTCTTTTTCTGGGCAATTCAAGATGAGAAATGTTTGGGATTCCTTTGGAGTGCATTTGTTTTGAGGGATTATTTCATGAGATTAGACTATTAATTCATCCGGACTAATCATAGTTCTAAATCGCGGTATCGGGTAACGTAACGGTATCGATCGCGGAGTATCGGTATCGGTAGTATCGGCCGGTACGTATCGGGTATCGGGCGTCGCGGCTGTGAAATTTCAAAAATCATTAGCAATCCATCTAAAACTCAATTTTATGCATTTTTTGACTCTTTTAGCCTTAATTTATCACATTTTAATCAAAATTTTGATATGTAAGGGCACTTTTTTGACTCATTTTCAACTAAATGATATATATTTATTTTAGTCTCAACATTTTATTTGGCATATATATTAAACTTTTGATATAAAATTGATGTGGAAATATTGGGCACTTTTTTTTTTTTTGTCAATTCCTCATTCATCTTCCTTTTGTCAATCTTTTTGCCCTTATAATTATTCAAATGATCCATCATTAGTGTTTGAACTTCACCACTGATATTAGCACAAGGTGCGACTTGACCTTTCATATGGGCCAAATGTTGCTTCAACCTAATTATACTACCATTTAGCTCTTTTCCACAAAATTTACACCTAATTTTATGCCTATTATTTTCTAGTGGAATTCTAAATTTCCAACCAATATCATCACTTGGAAGTTTTCCACTAGAACTACCTCCGTGCGCCATTATAACTTTCAATTATCTACGATAACAGTTTTCAATTAACAAATATTGTAATTCTAATTTAGTTAGTAATAATAATACATTTAAGATAAAAATAAAAAATCTAAAATATTAAACATCTTTACTTAACAATTAAACCTCTTTAAAAAAATCTGACAGATTAAACCTCTATAAAAAAAAAATCTGATACAAAAATAATCTGAAATAAAAAGATTTGACAGATTAAAAAAATCTAAAATAATAAAAAAAATCTGAAATAAAAAATCTGACAGATTAAATCTTGGCACAAGCTGGAAACAGCTGGAGGAGAAATATCTTCCAATTATGGGCTTTCTAGATATTTTTGGCCGATCGGCCAACATTTGTGGCCGATAAGGTTCACTTTTGGCCGACCTATAGCTGTTGAGCTCCAATTGTGGCCTATGCACTTCCATAGAGGCCGATGGCAAAAATCAATCATGGTCCCTGACTTGAAGAAAGCCTAACTCCTTCATTTGGACTCATTTTCAGGTCATTCTTGAGCCTAAACTGTAGCCCCGGAAGTCTCCTTTCCAAATTTGGAAGCCTCACCTCAAAATTACATGTGTGCTAAGAGATATATCTCTTTTAGTGAAGGTTTCTCAATTTCGGTCCAACCGGAATGATGCCCAACTTCAACCAATCATATCTTCTCCATCCGGACTCGGCTTTAGGAGATTCTTAAGTGAAAAATGAAGCCCCGGAAGTAAGTTTTCCAACGGTGGTGGCCTCATAGCTTAAATCCAAGTGCATAGACAGATAAGCCTGATTTAGCGAGGACCATTCGACTCTCTCTTAGCGATTCATACCCAACTTCTTCCGCAGCTAGGTTTCTTCCCTCTTCTCCTCTTTTCTTCAACTCCAAACCCCTAAACAAGGTGTTTTGAAAGATTTTTCAAAGATTTCAACTCTCTTTCATTCATTTCCACTTTGTCCTTGCTCGGTTTACCGAAAAGGCAACATTTGACAAAATGCGAGCCTCGAAACATCCTAGAAACTTTATTTCAAAAATGTTTTGAAAGAGAGGGTTTTAAGGTCTAAAAACCATTCAAAATAGCTTTGGTCCAAAATGGGGTGTAAGGTTGGGATTTGACTCTCCTCTTGCCGAAGAAATCGAACTTTGCTCTGCATAGCCTGCATCACTAACTAAACCATCAGTAACGCCCAAGTCTTAAGGATGGTCAAAAATGGGGTGTCTACAGCGCGTGACCAAGCTCAGTAGTGGCAGCCTGAAGATCTATTCTGTGTCAAGAAGTTAAATGGTTAAGTTTGCAAATTATGTATAAGTTTTCTACTTTCTTTATTTGGTTTGGACAAGTTTTGGTATGTTCGTTCTTGGGCTAAGTCCCAGTTTGACTTTGTGTACATGTGATGGTGACGTAAGACTTTGTTAATATAACGTCATGTATGTGAGTTATAAGTTTAAAATTTTTGTCCCATGTATGTCTGCACAGCTCTATGGACTATATACGTTTTATATATCTGCTTCTGCTGCCCTTATTATGTGATGATTTGTTCAGAAGCCTTTGGTAACCCCAAGATTATTGGCCGGTTACGACGCTAAACCTATAAGGGCGGGTTTGGGTCGTACAGAGGCATTTGCATATTTTAAAAAAATAGGGAGGTAAAGTGCTCAAAGGCTATACCATAGGGAGGTAAAGTGAATTTTGCCCTAATTTTTATTGCCTAAAGAAATGTTGGCGGATTATGAAGAAGGCTATTGTGCAATTTTTTTCTACATTTCATGAAAAAGGGAAATTATTGAGGGCGCTGAACTCCATGTTTATTGTGCTTATTCTAAAGAAAGATGAACCAGTGACACTTCCAGATTTTAGTCCTATTAGTCTTATGAGTAGCCTTTATAAGATCCTTATGAAGGTATTGGCCTATAGAATTAAAAAAGCCCTACCCTCCATTATTAATGAGGTTCAAATAGCCTTTGTGGGGGAAAAAATATTCAAGATGGGGTCCTCATAAAGTTATTAACTATTGGAAGGCGAGAAGAGGGAAAGGTTTGGTGCAAAAGTTGGATTTCAAGAAGGCTTACGATAGTTTAAATTAGAACTTTCTGTTTGCTTCTATGGAAAGGTTTGGATTCAAGGAAAAATGGATTGGGTGGATAAAAGAATGCGTGACTGCAACCTCTATTTCTGTATTAGTTAATGGTTCTCTGACTAAAGATTTTATACCAGATAAAGAGTTAAGGCAAGGTGACCCTTTGTTGCCATTTCTTTTCATTATCAGGGCTGAAGTTCTTAATTTGATGTTCAAGAGAGCAAAAAAACCTAGGTTTAATCAAAGGAGCGGAGATTGGGAATAATGGGATGAATCTAACCAATCTTCAATTTGCGGACGATACCATCATCTTCTATCAAGCTGATTGGGGCAAGGTTATAAACATCAAGAGGCTATTGCGTTGCTTTAAGCTTATTTCGGGATTAAAGATCAACTTTCATACGAGTATAGGGGAAGGAGTTAGGGTGGATGATAGTCTTTTGGATGATTTTTCTTTAGTTTCGAATTGCAAAGCTTATAAATTCCCAGTGAAATATCGAGGCCTCCCTTTGGAGGCAAATCCTAGGCTGAAAAAGACTTGGCAACCAGTGTTGCAAAAACTTAAATCTAAGTTGGCTTCATGGAAAAGAAAGTTCTTGTCATTCAGGAGCAGACTCACATTTGTCAAATCTATGCTAAGTGCTTTGCCAATTTATTATTTTTTGATTTGCAGGATGCTGGTGGCAGAAATTGATAAAATTCGGAGTGGTTTTTTGTGGCGAGACAACGATGTTGAGAAGAAGCTACATTTGGTAAAGTGGGAGAAGATGACTAAAGGGAAGGAGTTTGGAGGGTTAGGCCTTAGAAACATTAGAGTGATGAATGATGCTTTCATTTGAAGTGGTGGTGGAGGTTCGGGAGGGAAAGAAAAGAGAGAGCTTATGGAGGAGTTTGATTTATGAGATTTATGGAATGGACGGTCTATGTTGGTTCCATTTTTTTACTTCAGAGTCACATACCTTAAGAATTTGGAAGGATATTTTGATGTTACATGATAAGAGCCCTCTGATTTTTGGATTATTCATAGAAAATATTTACTTATGTTTGGGTGCTGGTAGAAGGATGTACTTTTAGAAAGATGAGTGGGTTAGGATGTCACACCCCAAATCTGGGCATGACTGGTCGTGGCCCACAGGAACTCAGCCCAAGGCACACGTAAGCCTAAACATGAATCCAAAATCACAAAGAATAAATGTGACGATAGCCCAGAAATAAATAAATCAAAACCCACCAGTGACAAGTCACAAGTATAAATGACAAAACCAGCCATAACCAACTTTCAAAAATATATACTAAATGGAACACAAATCGCCCATAAAATAAAATAATTCTAAATAAAATCCCACCACAATGTTTGCACAAAACCGACATAACAAGCCAAAACAAAATAATGAATGTCCTAGAGATCCATCCAATTGAGTCTCCGCTACGTCATGAGTCCACTCTAAGTCCTTCTAACACCTGAAAGTGATAAACAACTAAGTCAGCTGATAGCTCACTGAGTAGCAACATGGATAATATATACAGTTTTGAAAACAGGGATCAATTCCAAAATAAGATATATATCACAGAAACTAGATTGGCATACAGTTTGGTAAAGACAATCTGTTTCAAAAAGAAGGTTCCACAGTTCAACAGTTAAAATACTCATGTCTCTCAAAAACATGATAAATGACATTTTCCATTTAAAACAGATTACAAAATGAACACCAATAATTTTCTGGGTACCAATAAAAAAACAAATAATATGCCACACAGTTCTGAAGGCTATAAGCCCCGTTGGATCCAATACCGAACTAAGAGTCATCCTCAGGGTGGCAACCTGGGCCTTTTCTCTAAGACGATCCGATTGAAGGTCACCTAGCTTAACCTAGGTCTTTTCCTTACAATCGCTGAGCACTAAAGTCATCACGGCCCAACCCGGATTTGTTCCCTAGTAGCCAGAGTATAATTTTGATAATTTGAATGCATATAGTTTTGTATGTTTTTGTACGTTTTTAC